TCTCTGTGTATCTGTGTGTGTGTGTGCGTATCTCTCTCTCTGTGTACATGTGCGTGTGTGCATCTCTCTCTCTCTCTCTCTCTGTGTGCGTATCTCTCTCTCTCTCTCTCTGTGTACATGTGTGTGTGCGTATCTCTCTGTCTGTGTGTGTGTCTGTGTGTGTTCGTCTCTCTCTCACTCACTCATTCCCTCTCTCCCACTCTAGGAGGTCTGATCGCTCCGGTGATCTTCGGCGCCGTGATTGACGTCTCGTGTATCATCTTCGCGAAGCGGTGCGGGCGGACGGAGGGGGAGTGCCTGCTGTACGACGTGAACGCGAACCGGTACCTGACCATGGGGCTCACCGGCATCTACTTCTGGATCAGCTTCATGCTCCTGTCCGCGGGGTGGGTCGTGTTCGAGCCGGGACGGGGGCAGGGCAACAAGTTCAAGTAGTTCCACCTTCTTTCACACACTCAGAACCTTCCCCCGACCACCAACCAACCGAGGTTGACTGAGGTTCGGGAGCAATTTTAGCAGCCTTTTATATGTAGGCACGCCTATATGGGAGGCCATATTCGTCTCAGTGGCTTAAGGGGGCACACCCCAGTTTATTTGGGGCCTCTATTCGAAGCTGCACACCCTCAAATCTAGCGACCGTCTCTGGCGTGGAATAATTCGGAAGGAGAATAACTGTATATGGGACGAAAGGGTATCTCTTCAGCTACAAGACAAGCTGAGTTTGGTTTCTTCAACCTTTTTAAGTTTGGTAAAATCAACGGAAAAAACATTATTTTCACTCCAAAATTAATGCCCAAAATTGCGAATTTTCGCGTAGGATAATCCCACAAAAAAAAATTTTCCGGCAGAAATGACTGATGCTGGCAGAAAGACCCAAGCCTTGACTATACCCGAGTAAATTATAAAGAAAATTCTAGTACTGTAATTTTCTAAACAGTCCACGGCGCGAGGGGTTGCAAATCCACCCCTACGAAGCCGCAGAGCGAAAACTAGGTCAAACGGGCGGATTACACTTGGCGCGCAAGGATACCCGGAAGTAAGGTTCGGAGCCAAAAGAAATTTTCACCCCAAAATCACCATTTCTTACACTCTTCAGCCATGTTAATGTTTAATGATACTTCGTGGCAGTTTATAAGAAATGTCACCTCAAACTTGGACCCTCAAAACCCTTTCGTCACTTTTTTACAACGGACTATCGCGGACCCCGGTCGCGGAAGAACTGGGGTGTGCACCGTTAAATGTCATATACATGTTTATCAGTAGGTATAGACTTGTGCCTCTGCCAGGCTTCGGGAGCAGCTGGAAAGAGTAGACATTGGCCAAATAGAGAGATAAGAAGCCGAGGAAGTTGGTCCGCTAGAGAGTACATTTTGCCGCAAACTTTACTCTCAAGTGGACCAACTCCCTCAGCATGTTATCTCTCTATTTGGCCAATTTCTACTATTTCCAGCCGCTACCGAAGCCTGGTAGTATTGGTAGGCTACGTATTGACAAAAAAAGAGTGCATCAGCAATCTGGGGGTATTCGTTATACTGCAACACCTACATATACTTGAGCCTGCTGGTTTTTTTTTTCAATTCTTTATTATTATACCAACATTGCAGATGTATATTGTAGAGTTATAGTGTTGGCTGAATGGCATTGGTATTTATTATCATTACATTAAAAAAACACATAACACTACATCACATTACATACATTATACATGAATATATACATACTACTGATATGAACTGTACATCCCAGGCCTAACAAGTCCTGATTATACAGTCTGATTGTAGAGTCTGATAGACTGATGTAGGAAGTCTTTTTGTTCTGGCTGGGGGGATGGAGATGGTATTTTTGTTTCTGAGAGAGCATCCAGTAGCATTAGCTCTAGAGACATGGACAAGGTCATGTAGGCATTGTTTACAAGTAAATAAGCAGAAGAACAAGGCGCTAGGGGACCCAAACTCATGTCACTTCTTCCCTACCCCAAGAGCTATCTACCAACCAAAATTCGTGACCCTAGCATGTCCAGAACAGGAGATATCAAAACCAGAAGTTCAGCTGCAGTACCTAGAAAAGCCACCAGGGGGCCCAAAATCTAATCATTTCTAGGTCTCATGAAGACCTACCCACCTACCAAGTTTCATTTCAATCCATCCACTGCTTCTTGAGTTATCTTGCTAAACCACACACAAACACACACACACACACACACAAACGCTACTGAAAACATAACCTTCTTGGCGAAGGTAATTACCTGTAGGGGCATGGACCAGAGGCTGTGGATCATGGTCATCATGTACATCAGCATGGTGGCGTCCATACCGGCGTGGTTCATCACCTGTCCTGCCGTCACCTTGTCACTGCTCAGCACCCAGGACGACAGCTTCAGAACCTTGTTGTATATCATCGTCTACAAGACAAAACAAAGGGTTTCAAAGACATATCGAAAACTGTAACATTTATAAATCAAAATCTTAGCTGTGGTATGGAGTGAAATATTAACATGGAATTCAGCACCAAGGACAGAGCTATACCTTTGTTATGAAGTGAAATATTAACATGGAATTCAGCACCAAGGACAGAGCTACATCAGAATTTTGCCTGTTGCAGACGGTATCTTTTCTGACATAACCTTTGGAAACTACAGATGGAATGTTAACCTTATATATGTGAATACGACCTTATACAGACGTTCTGCCAAAGTGCTGTGCATAATACATTCGTGTCACCAGTGTGGCTGGAATTGTAGAAACACTGCTCACTTTGTTATTGAAAAAAGTTATCTCTGATTTTTTGTCTTTGAAATCCTCTAAAAAATGCAGGAAATGCCATTTCAAAAGGTTCATTTTTCAAAATTTCCTGGGGGAACATGCCCCCGGACCCCCCTAGGAACCTTGTGCCTTCGGTGCTCACCTCGCGCCTACAGCGCTCGCTGGTCCCACAAGCAGTGGGAAGAACCCCCCCCCCCATTCAAAATCCTGGCTACGGTCATGCTGGGTATACCATGTTATTACCTGAAGGGCAGTTTTGAGCTGTATTCCCTGCTGGAAGGTCATGTAGACTCCGAAGTATTCCAACTGGAACCTCAGTATGTTGACAATCAGCAGCAAGGTGATGAGGATGAACCCATTCCCAAAGAACTCTCCTGTTGTCACCAGGAACGCTCCCTGGAACAAGGGAAGGTGACAAAAATTATTCAGGAATTTAACATATATTGCACAAGCAAGTCATGATTTTTTAATAATGGGTACGATGAGATCTTTTAGAAATGTGGTGCCCCCTTAGCCTCATATTGTTGCTCATTGTCCAGATGCATATACATGTATCTACATTTATTTGCAATTTATCAAAGTTCACACTTTTGGATACTATAAAAGTAAACTAAAACTGAAAAGTTTCCTCATACCAGGTGCTAGATACATGTTATTGTACTGTGAGCACTTTAACATTGCTTGAAGACAAGATAATTACTTGTGTGGGTCCTGGTGGACAACCTAAAAAGTATCATGATAGTTCATCTGGTAGTTACATGTTTAGAGCTAAAACTTTAGATCCAACACAAAAAGTCCTCTCACCAAGAGCTTTCAACCAGTCACTCTGGTCTTCCTCAGTAGATACCTTTGACCCAGTGTTGACGTCACACTTCAAAGAAGCCACATGACAAGCCTCACTGGGTCAGTCTACTGAGGAAGACCAGAGTGACTGGTTGAAAGGTGAGAGAACTTTTTATGTTGGATCTAAAATTTTAACTCTAAAGAAAACCTAAAAAGTAAATTCTCAGTTACTACAAACCTTGCCATCCCCATAGCTCACCTTGTAAACAGGTTGCTCTGTTCCTCCCTGTTGGAAGTTAAGAGTGGCCCAGGTGACAATACCATTCAGGATCAGAGGGGTGGAAAACGTCAGGGTGTCCACAAGAAGCCTCAGGAGTCCGGAGATGAGGAAGGCATCGCTGAATGCCTTGATGTAGACACCCCACAGGGACAGCTTCTTGTTCTTTGCATCAGCCTTTGCCTTCAATTTCCAAATAATAATTAAGGGTTAATGATCCGCCCCGAGGTGAATATGGTGTGATAAAACCTCGTCAGTTGCTATAACCACCAAATGGAGCCACCAAGTGAGTGCAGCGAACGAGGTGGCTTTATGAGGTGGTTATAGCAACTCACAAGGTTTTATCACACCATATTCACTGAGAAAGGTTATATTGAGTGATATTATATACAGTTATATTGTTATTTTGAGTAAATAATTCAGTAATTGAGTCATTAATTCAATTGTCATCAACTTTTTTTTGTCTTTCATAGTAACCTGGGGGCATCCAGAGCCGCACCTAATAATAAATGAGGATGAAATGAACTGAACTGAACATACTAACCAAATGCAATAAAGAACTGAACATACTAGCAAAATGCAATAAATCATATTCCATACATCATACATGTATCTACATGTATGCTTGGAGAATTTCTAATAGCAACAAATTGGAATTCTATACTATGGCAAATAAACTACAGGAGCTATTGATATAGTAAACTTACCTTGTCATGGTCATAAGTGGCCTTGAAGACATCATAGGATGCCTTAGCACGCATTAGCTGAAAAGAAGATAATAACATAATTATAAATCTCACAATTCTCAAAGTTTATATTCTCTAACATCTTATAACTACAATGTATTGTCCTTACCTCGAGTATAGCTCATACCCAAATTTCCATGGTCAATCTACTCCATCTGTATCTGTATCTGTATAGCTGGTATAACCGCCTGCCCTGGGTGTACATGTAATACACCAACTTAGCAAATCTATGACTAGCAAATTACAGTTACTCTTTACACAGTTTTATGAATTATGTTAAAGTCTATACCCCTGGTATGCTCCAACCACTGCATACATGTCACGCCCGTAGCCAGGGGGGTTCGGGGTTCAGACGAACCCCCCCCCCCCACATGGCTAAAAGGTCCACATTTTGGTCCACTTTTTATCTAAAGGTCCAAGATTTTTCTTTAAAAGATGGACTGATTCGTGTCACCACCGAGGCTGGAATCATAGGAAAACTGCTCGCTTTGTCATTGAAAAAAGTTTGATTGAAATCTCTTGTTTTTTTCTTTTTCCGGGGGAGCATGCCCCCGGACCCCCCTAGGAACCTCGCGCCTATGGTGCTGGTCCCTCAAGCAGTGAGAAGAACCCCCCCCAATTCAAAATCCTGGCTATGGCCATGTATGTAATGCTTTTTTATGTACCATGGGAATCTTGCCCAGGTGGGACATCTCCAGAGGTTCCTTGTAGCCCACCCTGAGGATGAAGCTTGCCCACCAGAACGTAGCGCGTGACGGGAGCGTGACATAAGGAAACACGTAGTACATGTTGTCGTCTTTCAGGTCACTGTGCGGCTTCAGCTGGACTGGGCTGGCCGACAGGTACTTCTGTAAAGGTATAGATTAAAAATAGAAGCAAACCAGAAAGGTAACGTTTGCAAAGCGAATGCATAATGTCTACCTTCGCATATTCACATTCATATATGTGGTGACACAGGAGTCTAAATCCCCCCTGCTATAAAATTGCAACATGATTTAACCCAACACCAGTTATCATAGTGACAAACGTTGTCTGGCCCAGGTCATTGACCTTATGAGTTTGGAGAAGAGGAAACTGAGCAAAAAAAAATAAGCATTACATATAGCATTGCAAAAAAAATAAGCATTACATATAGGTTGAAATTCAACAGATCCAGAAGTCTGAGATCAATTTGTTGACAGGTAAAGACACAGTAATACATGTATCACAATTTTAGAGTCGTCATAAAACAAAAGAATGGGGACACTCAGGGACACCTGAAAAACAGGCCACAGACTTGAGTGCAATCTACTGGTAAAATAAATAAATGAAACAAATTTTCTTCTTTTCGTGTAACTCATAAAAGCATAAAAGACTTTTAAATTACGAGTCACAGGTCAGTCCAAATGTTACTGAGGCACATTAAACATCGTTTGTATCATTTGCCCTAACCTCTTTTATGCTGAGGTTACATTTCCAAACCAGGGCCCGGCCGGGCAGCTTTTGGGAATGAAAAGTATGATAATTTCTGAGGAAAACAAAAAGAAACAAATCATGGGTACTATTTGTGTTAAATTCTTTATATGAGTTGTTAATTTTTCCTTGAGGAAAACAGCCCGACCGGGCCCTGGTTTGGAAATGTGACCTCAGTATATGAAGCAATTGCAACAAAACACTACTCACCAGTTTGTACAAAGTGTATCCTTCAATAATGACATGTATTGTGTACAGAACGACAGACGTCCACGTCAGACTCAGTCGGAGTGATGTGGAGCTCACGTCTCCACGGGTGTACAGATGAGCCAGCCGGGCGGCTTTGAACCCGGCAGACATGACGTAGTACACGGCCAGCGGTAACAACAGACGGGGTTTGTTGGACATTTCCACCTGCGTGAAAATATATATATTTTTTTTTAGACATAACCCAGCACAAAACACAGGGGTGGACAACTCTAGCAAGTCAATAACAAATAAAAAAACAGCAAATGGGTATACCAAAATACACAGATAACAGGTAAAATAGGATCAATGTGTAAAATTTTAATTTAAAGATGATTTTTGTAGGCAGTTTGAACACTTGAAAACATGTTGTTAATACCATCTTTCTACAATGCTTGACTCTTAATCTCTCTGCTGTTTTCTAGGATATGCTATAGGTAAGATGTGGTGCTAAAACAAGGCAGAAATATGATGCCCCAACCTTCTGCTACACACATATTGACAACCAAAGATCGCAAAACGCTGCCCTAGTTGCACACAGTGACACCACGGTGTTTATACAGAGTTGCGGTAGCAAAATTTCGCAGTCTGAGAAAAACGGACATGTTCAATTTGCAGAACTATGTATAGTTATGTTCATGGTTACAGCAGGTGCAGAAGAAAGAAAGTCAGCAAATTATTTATTTGCAGAAATGATAAGTTCTCGGTGCAAAAGTAACCTCAAAAAACGCAAATATAAATTTTAAAGTACTGTGAACATGAAGTGATTTACAGTATGCAAGACAGGAACTTGAATGATGAATTGAACTGAAGAACTCTACCATGCATATGGCTATATTTCGGATGGTGAAAATAATGACAAAAATCAGTTTTACCTGGTAGTAGTAGACACAGGCGAGCAGGGTGGCCAGCAGTGAGACAATCCATGGTAGGTACAAGTGAACGTGATGTCCAGGTGTGTAACCATCTGATACAGCTCCCTCCCCTACCTGTGGATATGGTACGTAGGACAAAGAGACTTTAATCACACTGCACTCTCATTGGTCATCCGCAATAACCTAATTAACCAACCCTGGTATAAGGCATGGTGCCTTGTCACTCTGCCCTATTCATGAATGGGTATATCACACACTTTGTACAATTTCTCTGCTATACCCACTCAATCACTCAAGTCTTTACCATTCTGTACTGTACTGTACCATACAAAACCATTGAGCACAGCTTTCGATCAGAACATTGCATATGAAGATTGCTGCATATAAAAACATGCACAGTGATTATCAAACTACATAAAACACCCAAAAAGTGCAAAGCTCAGCAAAGGTAGCGGTGTTTTCCATGCGATATACATATTTATTGTAAGCGAAAGAAAGCACCTTGGATAATTACCGTAAGCAAATTAAAGGACTTCTTTCATAGCTTACAGTAGGTCTACTCATGCAAAAATACATGAAAACCCCTCTCAAGCTTTTTAAGTTATCCAGATCACAAAAAAAATCTACTAAAATCAACAGCCCTTCTATCAAGTTTCAAATTTTTCTGAAATAAAAGGGTGATCTCACCTCACAGAGGGTGATAAATAGAAGAATGAGAGTGACGGTCCACCGTGCGTAGTGCCCTGGGAACAAGATCCATCCTTTTTGATGCTCGGTAACTTTGCCCTTTTTCCATCTCCACAGCACTAGAGCTGCCAAATTGGAACAGAAAAAAAAACAGAAAAGTTCAGACACTACCTACACATCAAAAGCGTTACTGCTAAGGCCTAGGAAAAAAATGTTGTGTTTCCTGTTTCCCGACCCATTCTAGAAAAACCTGCCGATTCTAGCCTTTTTTGGGGGGTGGACCCCTGCAAGGGACATTAATTTTTCGAGCTGATCAACCTTTTCTAACTCCATGGTCTGACAGACACCTGAGTGATGAAATATGTAAAATTGGTTTTCTAACATTGACATTGAAAATAAAAGTGTCCTCATGCAAGTTTTTAAGACTTTGCCCTTGGTGGTAGAAGAAAATCGCAGACAAACTCACCTAGAAGAGCCAACGGCAGGTACCCCGCATGTGGTATTAAGTTGAGTCCATCCACGAGGCACTCCCCTGCCCTGGTGTCCACTGTTGTTGTATCATTGCCGTTGACAGAGGGGTAGGCGGGGCCACAGAACAACGAGTCCGCCATGGCAGGGCCGGGACACGCGCGTGCTTACCTCTTGTTAACAACGTACCTGAGATAAAATAAACGTTTGTATAATAGGTTACTAAGTGCCCACTACAACTGGTAGTTACGACAGGTATACAATTATAGTATCCATACAGTTGTGCTAGCGCTATATTATAGGAAATCTTTAAAACACCTGTACTAAAAATTGACCGTTATTTCAGCCACCGAGATAGTGCACTATTAATATTCCTGCATCTACAATAAAAGGTAGGCGGGGCCACAAAATAAAGGGTCCGCCATGGCCGTAACGTAACGTTACACTTGTTATAGGTACACCTGTTATGAATGTCAATATAATGGATCGCTAACCTAAAGTTTTCCCCGCAATGGTTGCTACAGAAGTCGGAAAATTCTTACGTCTGTGGCTACGTGAATCTGAAGAATCAGAGCTGCACTGCTCTCGGTAGTTTCTTCACAACTTGTGAGCTGCTAGCCGGATACGGGCCGGTTAAGTGGAGTGACGGCAGTATCCAGAGTTGGGTTTGAGTCATACAACCCCAAGCTATTTACGTGGGAGGTCGAAGCGGCTACGATTTCACTACGTTGCGCAACTACGTATACACAGGCAGGGTTCAGGGACCGGTCAGTGAAACGCCGACGGGCACCGAGAGGCGAGTGTGAGAGAGAACCATTGTTTCAGGTAGAGAGGCATGACCCGGAATCCAGTTTGAACTGGTTGCTTAGTCAGGAATCATTTTGTCTGAAGCCAAAATTCAGTAGCCTCCTGTGCAGGCCTCCAAGTTTTGATGCTGCGTTTTTTTAGAATTTTTAACGCGTTCTTTTGCAGGTGTTCCGGGAGATATGGGGGCGCCGGGAAATTTGGGGCCACTTCCATATATGGCAGAAGGGGGCGTGGCCTAAAAACTACGAAGGCCCAAAGCAACAATGTGTGTCTTCCATTCAATGCCCATTATGTTAGATTCATCTAGCAGTATATTTCATAATAAAACAGTAACCATTGTACACGTTGTCTTTTCTCATCAAATGTTCTATAGTATTCGTTCAAAAAGGAATTCAAGGGACCCGCTAGCTTACCGCTAAACTAGCAACTTTGAGCCAGCAACATAATATTTGAGTTATGTTCAAAGATCGTGTTGTCGTTTTTCATCCCTTTAGTGTCTTTTATAAGGGGGGACTAATTATCCCGGGAAAGGAAGCCGTGATATTTGGGTCCCCCACCAATGGTCATAACATGGGGACCAAAAATCGCGGGAAATTTGGAACCCGGGATATTTGGGTCCCCCCGTTAGAACTAACATTCTCTTCTCGAAATCACGTTTTTACTGCTTATCTGACATTTTTGAGACATCAACAGAACATTTTGAGTCGTGGTTAAAGGTTCGCATCCAACATAATGTCATATTTGATCACTTTAGTGTCTTTCATAAAGGGGGACCAAAAATCCCGGGAAATTTGGGACCCGGGATATTTGGGTCCCACCATTAGAACTAACATTCTCTACCCAAAATCACGCCTTTACTGCTTATCTGACATTTTTGAGACATCAACAGAACATTTTGAGTCGCGTTCAAAGGTTTGCACCCAACATAATGTCATATTTTATCATCTTAGTGTCTTTATTAAGGGGGGACCAAAAATCCCGGGAAATTTGGGACCCGGGATATTTGGGTCCCCCCATTAGAACTAACATTCTCTTCTCGAAATCACGTTTTTACTGCTTATCTGACATTTTTAAGTCGTGGTAAAAGGTTCGCACCCGACATACTGTCATATTTCATCACTTTAGTGTCTTTCATAAGGGGGGACCAAAAATCCCGGGAAATTTGGAACCCGGGATATTTGGGTCCCCCCATTAGAACTAACATTCTCTTCTCGAAATCACGTCTTTACTGTTTACCTGACACTTTTGAGACATCAACAGAACATTTTGAGTCGTGGTTAAAGGTTCGCATCCAACATGCTGTCATATTTCATCACTTTAGTGTCTTTCATAAGGGATTTTTTATCCCCCGTTATGACACTAAAGTGATGAAATATGACAGCATGTTGGATGCGAACCTTTTACCGCGACTCAAAATGGTTCC